ATTAGTTTTTGTTAGATTTTATTTCTAATATTTTACTATATGAAAAATAGTTAGCATTCTCTTTTAATACATAATAATTATTTTTTTATTTGTAATTGATTATATAAAATACTAATTATCATGATTAAATCTTTTTTTTTAAATATTGTTTTGAAAATATTTTCCAAATTAGGAATATCTCTCTATAAATTAATAATTATTAATTTATCGATAAATTAATACCTCTATAAATTAATAGATTTTCATGGTCCCAACATTATTAATTTATAGAGGTTTTACTGTAATGAGAGAATGAGAGAATGATATAATGAGAAAATGAGTATATATAGGAAAAGAAGTGATGAGAGTTACAATTTCATAAAACAATTATGGGAGTCAATTATAATTGATTGTGTATTGAAAAAATTGAATGGAAACTATAGTTAATGCAAATTTATGTTATTTCAGTTTTTATATTAAAGTGTGAGTTTAATGTATATGATTAAATGTGTTTTGTGATTTCTTTGTTTTTTTCAGTTTTATATTAAAGTGTGAATCAAATATATAATATGTTTTAAAGTTACATGCCAAGTGGACCAATATGAAGATGGTAAAATCTTTTATATATATATATATATGATTTGTGAATAATATGATAGTTATTCTTTGATTTAAATTCATTATATTATTTTCTCAACTGTTTGATAATAGAAAATTAAATAAAATTTGTTTGATAATCTCTTTAATTCTTCTCTTATAAATTAACTTTTTAAAATTAGAAATTATGTTATAAATAATGTATTACCCATATTAATAACTTTAAAAATGTATCTTTAAAGGAGTAGGAAAAAAAACTTTAAAAATGTATTTTTAAAGGAGTAGGAAAAAAAAGTCATAGCAATTTTCTTTGAATAAAAAATTATAGCAACTCCATTTTATGTTTAGCTTATATGATATTTAATTTAATTAGAAACTAAAATTAGGAAAAACATATTTTTGCAACAATGACACTTTTTTAAAAAACAAACCATACATATAACATATAACTTACAACACAATATCATAAAAAAATTAATGTTATATTATAGATAAATAAAAATGACACATGTCAAAAGCATAGAGCGACACATGTCGCATTGTGAGGCAAAGTTAAGAAGAAACCTTATCTTATTATATAAGATATTTATGAGCCACATTTTTTGAAATTTCATCAGTCTTATTGCCATATTTCTTCTTTTATTTGTTTTATGTAATTCAAAATATTAAAAAAAAAAATCAAACCAAAAGAACGGAACAAACACGAAACATACGAAAAAAACTCGTACCTCAAAGTCGGCTATGTCATCCATGAGACGGGTCTTTGCACCTAAAGTCCGAGCGAGCTTTGGTCTAGATATCAGCCAGTCAAAATCTTCCTTACTACCCATCTCTCCAAGTCCCATTATGGAACATGCTATGGTTGCATATGTAGCAATCTCGGCTCCACCAGACTCTAAAAACTCATCTAAGCTAGGCACATGACCTGCCCGTGCCCATTTGACAAGTTCGAGATTTGTCCTTGCAAGTATCTTGAACTGCTTACCAAAAATATAAACGTGTTAGTTATTACCATTCCAATGAATATGGGTTTGGTGGTTGTAAGTAATCACCTCTTCTATCATCTTTTCCAGCACAAATAATCTTCCTTGTGACCTCAATATTTCTTCATACTCTTTAAAAAGATACATCACAAATTTGAAGGCAGTCTTCATGTGACCTTGAAGATTTTCCATGTAATCCGGATCCCATCTGTTCATATATATCACATCAAATACTCCACTCATAATTAATTGTTTGTTGTGATTCAACCCTTGAATCTTTGGAATCTATATAGTTACGGTACCTTTCCAGACAGTCGACCAGGCTTTCAACTTCAGGAATTGAACCATAAATATCGCAAGCGTCGTCTAGAAATGTGATTACTAAGTACATTTTAGCCGACATAATTCTCCCAAGTGAAAATTGTGGCTCGAAGTACATCAACAATGCTGAAAACCAAGTCTCTACGGTTCTTTCTCTGAAGTTAGGTGGGAGGTTCGCTGTATGTTCTAAGTTCCTCCACCACCTACCAAAACATGAAAAGAATATAAATGTGCAGTCATAAAGAATCCTAGCTATCGTCTAAGAAAACTAGATAGTTCACATATACATTGTGATGGTTTTTAATTCTTGGAAGTAATGGAGCTGCAAGAACTTGTAATTGACTTTGGCTAGCTTGAGCAGTGTGTCATCACGGTCTTCTTCGTGTTCATAGAACGAGATATACTCCCTTGCAACCAAAGCTTGGTTGTTCCGGTGCTGAGGTATGTGAAAAGCATTTCGTATAAGCTTTAAAATATGTGGTGAGCATGATTTGCGACCTGTAGCCAGTGGCTCCAAGTGGTTCAGTGTGAAGCTTGATGCTTCATCCAATATATGATCTGTCGTTGTCCCAAACTGCACTGCTTCGTAGAGACTTAGGATACCCTTGACATCTTGTATTAAAGTTTCCTTGAATTTACCATCTTTTCCTTTGAATCTATTGAAAACATCTACATGGAAATAAATAAATATAATTTTTCAATCTATTCGATTAATTATGCACACATCCGAATTGGGAAGCAAGAAACATAGTGGAACTCATTTAAAAGAGAGTACTTACCAGACAACATATTATGACAATATGTTCTAAAAACCCGAAACATGATTGAGATTGTGTACAAATCATCTTCATCAGCGATTAAATCTTCTATCTTCTCGAAAGCATGTTTCAAGCTGTCTTCGATCTCCTTGTCAAAATGATAAGCGAGACCAAGACTCTCTAGCAAATAAATGGAATGAATTGTTCTCTTCGTTGTGTCTTTGTCTTTGGAAGACAACATGAATATGTTCTCTCTTACCTTAGGCTTTAGCACTTCAATCTCTCTTTCAAGAACATCAAAGTCCTGCAAGATGATAAGAATCAAGATCTTTATATATATGTCACTCACACACGAATTTATTGTTAACGGACTCACTGAAGTTTACAAAAAAAAATTTCAAAAAAATTGGACTCACTGAATCAGCTTTGGAAAATTTGAGGAACTGATCACCCCATTGAGAGGCTGGCAATTTTGTAAAATTTAAGAAGCTTTCCTGATCAAGATTTTTTACTTCTTCCATTTCTATATATGTGTGTGAGAGAGAGAGATAAGGTGGTGGAAAATTTGCAAGAATGTAAAGAGATATATATTGAGAAACGGACTAAAGGACGAAAGGATAATTTTTATTTATTTTTGTCGCCTGGGACGAAAGGATAATATATTTATGTTTATGCATGTTTTAATTTATTTATAGTATGTGTTTTATGCATGGTAACAAGAAAAATAGTCTTTTCTATTTTATATTATATGTTTTAGAATATTTTTGTTCTCCTTTATTAGATTATCTCAAGTTTTTATGTAAATATTTTTAATTAATTTTAATTGTTTATGACTATTTAATTTGCAATATTATTTTATTGGATGAATTTTTGTAAAAGAAAAAATACTTTTTGTGCTTTTAGCTAAAAGTTTTTATATCTTTAATGTTGATGCATGTTTTTATTTATTTATTATTATGTTTTATGCATCCTCAACAAAATAAATAATATATATATATGTATATAATTAACATTATATGTTTATATGCATGTTGTTTATATATATATATATATATATATATATATATATATATATATATATATATGTATTTTTAGAAGATGGTCGGTGCTTACATGTACAACTGATCCTACCCAAAACAGAATAGATGATATAAAATATCCAACTAGTATATATTTTTGTCTAAAATAATAGATAGTTTATTCCAAATTGCAGTGGTTGGAGACTTTCTTTTTGTTTTTTCAGTCGACAAAATATTTCTTAGGGACATCCTCATTAGGAGAATCTTAAGGGTAAGATTTATCAAAGAGAATAAGAATATCTTCCCTAAAATTTTCCTAATAAGGATGATCTTAACATAAACGTTTAAATTAACGTTCATTAATTACAAAGAAATTGCTGACACCACCCGGGCTGGCTATAGCGAGGAGAGTTCTACGAAACAGTGACGGGAATAGTAAAAAGTTTGCAAAGCATGCGTTAAATATTGGTATATGTTCTGCACCATTAGCCGAGTTATTAGGAGTTTATTATGGATTTTATATAGCTTGGGAGTGTCATATGAATTGTGTGGAGCTGGATGAGGTAGACTCGGAAATTGTTGTAAGATTTTTAAAGACAAAGATTAGTTACTGGGAAATAGTTACAGGGAAAGATTATGTGGTTATTTTTACAGTTGATAAACAAGTCTTTAAAGTCTTCCAGACGTAGCACTCTGGCCGTCGGATATGGATAGGCTCACAAGCCTAATAAGAGTACGTCATACCCATTAACATATGTGGATACATGGACTGAAAGTGAACATGAGTCCCACTGAGAAAGGTACCAGTCGGAACATTACAAAACAAAACAAAACTAACCCTTATAATTTATGAATTAGTTTACTAATTAATCTTAAGGGGATTTGCACAATTAACCTTTTTATGATACCATTTTCTACAAATAGCCTCTCTAAGTGTCTATTTTCAAAAATACCCTTTTCAATGTACAAAATGACTAAATTACCTTCCTTTATTATAAACCATGATGAAGAAATGAATATTCTTTACAAAAAAAGAATATTCCTTCCGAAAATTTTCGCGCCAAAATTTTCTGACAAAAACATTTTCCCGCCAAAAATTCCCAAAAAAAAAAATTCCCGCCAAAATATTTCCGCAATTCCTTAAAAAACCTTTTAAAAGACCTTGTAAATATTTTTAAATCCCTTAAAAATCTTTAAAAAATCTTTGTAAATCTTTTAAAAGTCATCCAAAACTTTTTAAAACTTGAGTAAACCTTTTAAAACCATTGTAAATCATTTTATAACATTTATAAACACTTGTAAATCCCTTTAAATCCCTTATAACCGTGATAAATCATTTAATAAAAAAATTTGTAAACTTCTAAAACCCTTTAAAGAACCTTGTAAATCCTTAAAAACCATTTTAAAGAACTTGTAATAGCTTTAAAAACTTTTTTAAACTCTTTAAAATCCTTTGTAAACTTCTAAAACCCTTTAAAAACCCTTGTAAACCCTTTAAAACTATTTTTAAATCTTTGTAAATATCTTTCAAAATCCTTGTAAATCCTTTTTAAAATCTTTTTTAAATCCTTGTATGTCTTTAAAAACACTTGTAAATCCTTTTAAAAAACCTTTAAAAATCCTTGTAAATTTTTAAAATCTTTTTAAAATCCTTTTAAAACTGTTATAAACTTATAAAAACTTTTAAAACCCATTGTAAATCATTGAAAAACCATTCAAAAACCTTTGTAAGCTTCTAAAACCCTTTAAAAACCATTACAAATCTTTTAAAAACCATTTAAAAACTCTTGTAAATATCTTTAAAAACCCTTGTAAACCCTTTAAAAGACCCTTTAAAAATTCTTGTAAACCCTTTAAAAATATTTGGTGGAAATATTTTGAAAAAATAATATTTTTTGCGGGAAAAGTTTTGCAGAAATTTTGTTGACGGAAAATTTTTGGCGGGAAAATTTGGCGGGAAATAGAGATAAAATAGCCATTAAAATTTAAAAGAAAGCAAAAATGAAAATGGCAAAAAAAGAGAGTATTTTTGAAAGTTGGTATCATAATTGGTATCAATTTCTCTTAATCTTATATATAAAGGTATAATTTTATGCTAGACAAAACTCATTTGAAAGCATATTATTATTACATATATATAATGCAATAAGTTGCGCTGCATATAAAACATGCTCAAATTTACGACATAGTTATCTAAAATTTGAATCACATATTGGCCAAATTGAAAAAGACAAACAACAAATAAAACTTTATCAAATCGCTCCCATGTGATCGCAAGCAAATTAGTTTTATCTTTCTCCAACTACAAATATATTTAATTGTTCTACAAATTGGAAAAGACAAATCTTAAAACTCCATCAAAATTTTCTATTCGTCAAATAATAATAAACTAAACAAAAAGAAACGCATGTGTATATCTACAATATTGTATTAAGAAAAACGTCACCTACCCAATATTAAAAACTACAAAATGACCACCATTGGTTTAATACTATATCACTAGATTTTAGGGTTTTGTGCAAATAGGTGATAAGATGTTATAGGTTATTGTGACGGTGTTAAAATATTATAGGTTAAAATATTGTAGGATAAGATATTGTAGATATACATATGCGTTTCTTTTTGTTTAGATTATTATTAATTAACGAATAGAAAAATTTGATGGAGTTTTATGGTTTGTCTTTTCCAATTTGTAGAAGAATTAAATATATTTGTAGTTGGAAAAAGATAAAACTAATCTGCTTGCAAATCACATGAGAGCCATTTGATAAAGTTTTATGGTTTGTCTTTTTCTATTTGGGCAAATATGTGATTGAAATTTTTTGATAACTATGTCGTAAATTTGAATATGTTTTATATGCAGCGCCACCTATTGCATTATATATATGTAAATAATAATATGCTTTTCAAAGGAGGTTTGCGTAGCATAAAAAATTATACTTTTATTTTTATACATAAAAAAGAAAATTAGATTGATTTAGATTAAAGAAATTTTCTTTTTGACCGCATATTTTTTTTTTTTCAAAAATACCACTAATTGTTTTCCAAAAAAACCACAAAATGTTTTTATTTCCAAAAATAACATAAATAAACTGTTTTAGGTATTTATGTCACCAAAGTTCACTTATCTTTTCGGTTAGAGATCTTAAGAAAACTCTTCAGTTAAGCATGTTTATGTTGGAATATTTTAACGATGAGTGACCTTCTGGGAAGTTGTTGTCGGAACTGTTTGAGTAATACCAAAACATAGGAAAATATCATGTGGTGATTCATAGGATCGGTAAATAAGTATTTAAGCCTCCCAGACATGGCAAATCAGCCGTCAGACATGGATGGGTTCACGGGCCTCGTGAAGCGCATTAAAGGAGGTGGTCCCATAGACTAGGTATGGACATGGAGCCCATTGGGAGAGTTGACGGTAGGGGCGTTACAAGTGGTATTAGAGCCAAACTCAAACAAGTGTAGAGTAGTGGGCTCACACTCTCGGGGGTGACGGTTTTAATGTGCAACAAAGACATTGTGATCTGTTAGTGGGGGAAAATTAAGGGACCCTGTTTTGTAGAGAGGTTTAAATAAATTATTTTTGCCACAGATGTTACCAAAGTGTATTTATCTTTTCGGTCAAAGGTCCCGAGAAACTCCATAGTTAAACGTGCTCATGTTGGAGTAGTCTAGAGATATGTGACCTTCTGGGAAAGTGGTTTTTGGAACGGTGTGAGTGAGACCAAGACACAGGGAAAGATCATGTAATGATTAGTAGGGTCGTAAATAAGTATTTAAGCCTCATGAGTACGTACCAAACCGGTCGTCGGATATAGATGGGCTCACGTACCTATTAAAAGGACATGAGGCTCATTAAGATAAGTTGGCCCATGGAATAAGATTGAACATCCACGATCAAAGATCCCAATGTTGACAATAATCCAATTACATAAACCATAAAAAAAAAAAAAAAAGTTAGAATTGCACTAAACAATCAAAATACAGCAAAATAATACAACACTATTAAAACACGATTATAATCTCGAATGGAATAATGAATTAACAAATAATTATCCAAACACAATATTCATAATAAATTTTTAAAACATTTAATAGAAAAAGTTAACAAAAAATTAAGTATTTTATTTTTAAAATTTAATAAAAGTGCAATTATATTTTTTGATTAGTTTTATATCATTTATTTTTTTATGATTGACGATTAATGAATTAACTACTAAAAACGTCGTCCATCTAAACTCCTAAACTCGAAGTTAGATGTCTTTCTAACATAACTTAGTTTTATGTTTATAGAATACACATACCAAATTTCATAAACAAAATACAAACTAACTAACCAAGATATCAATAAATAATAAACAAACAAACAAATATATAAATATATCAAATAGTGATTTTTACCGTCACATCCTTTACCTAGTATCATCTCCAATTCCTTCATTAAAAAAAATTTCCCGATCGAAGATCCCAATGTAGACAATACTCCTTAGATAAACCATTAAAAAAAGTTAGAATTGCAATAAACAATCAAAACACGGCAAAAGAATACAACACTAATACACAATTATAACCTCGAATCACAAACTCATAAATGGGTGATAAGCAACTCGAATCATAGAAACGATTCAAAAAAACACAAATACAAAGAAAATCATTTTATCAAAATATGAACAACACCAAAAAAGGTTTGGTTTTTTTTTAAAAGTAGGAACTACAAAACTAATAGAACCATATACTCATGTAAAGGTCTAGACTCTACATTTATAGTTGAATTGTTAGGGCTAACCGGCATAATTTATCCAACTCAGTTTTACTTTTAAAAATAGAAATTTACTCAAACACAATTTTCACAATAAATTGTTAGGTATTTTAATAAAAGATTTAATATTTTCGTTTTTCAAATTAACAAAAATTAAAATTTTGCATTTTGATTACTTTTATATCATTTATTTATTAAGAAAATGAATTATTAAATTTAGAAGTATTTCCATATTTTAAAATATATATTTTATGTTCATATATCTTATTATTATTATTTTTTAGTAAAAGAAATTAACGTAATTCAAAAAATGTTAAATATTGAAATGTCTAATTACGATTAGTCGTTTAAAATTTTATGTGGACGTTTTTAAGAGTTTTATAACTTTAACTTTTATATTTATATTGTAATATAATGGTTCACATAGTTGGCACTTGACAAGTACCACCTACCCAATATTCTTGATGTTAGAAAAGAAAGCAAAAAAAACTAAAACAAAAACGAACATATTTTATAAAAGAAGATAAAATTGGCTCCGATGTTCCCTGCATCAAATTAATAAAACAAAAACATTTCTAGCCTCTTCTATGAACCCAATTGGCATGGATAACCTCGAGTACGTTTTAATTGTGATGGCTGTATTCTCTGTTTTTTGGTATCTTTGCCTTTACACCAACTCCAAACGGCTGTCTCCACCGTTGCCGCCGGGACCTTGGGGCCTTCCCATCATCGGAAACCTTCCATTCCTCCAACCGGAGCTTCACACATACTTCCAAGGGCTGGCTAAACAGCACGGTCCCATTTTCAAACTCTGGCTCGGTGCCAAGCTGGCTATTGTGGTTACCTCTCCTGAAGTAGCGCAAGAGATTCTCAAAACGAATGATGCTATCTTTGCGAACCATGATGTCCCTGCTGTTGCTCCGGCCAACACATACGGTGGTATTGAGATAGTTTGGTCGCCGTATGGACCAAAGTGGCGGATGCTTAGGAAACTATGTGTTAATAGGATCCTAAGCAACGCCATGTTGGATTCCTCCATTGAACTCCGTCGTGGAGAGACTCGGCGAACAGTCCGGTCTTTAGCAGACCAGGCTCGAGCCGGGTCGCCCGTTAACCTAGGAGAACATATATTTTTGATGATATTAAATGTTGTGACGCAAATGTTATGGGGCACGACGGTCAAGGGAGAAGAGAGGGAGAGTGTTGGAGCCGAGTTCTTAGAATTGGTTACAGAGATGAATGGCCTCTTACTAAAGCCTAATATCTCTGACTTTTTTCCGGTATTGAGCCGGTTTGATCTTCAGGGTTTGGTTAAGCGTATGAAAAGACCGGCTCAAAGGATGGACCAGATGTTTGACCGGATCATTAACCAACGACTGGGGATGGATAGGGACAGTGATGGGAGAACTGTGGATTTTCTAGATGTCTTGTTAAAAGTGAAGGATGAAGAAGATGACAAAACAAAACTAACCATGAACGATGTCAAGGCGTTGCTCATGGTAAGTTAAATTCTTTTTGTCCCTAGTAAGTAACGTATGTATACATGTTTACGTTTCTCGTGGTTATTGTAGGACATGGTGCTCGCTGGTACTGACACATCATTACACGTCATAGAATTCGCGATGGCCGAGCTATTACAAAACCCGGATATCATGAAAAGAGCTCAACAAGAGCTTGACAAAGTTGTGGGCACATATAAAGTGGTGGAGGAATATCACATCTCTAAACTTCCATACATACTTGCCATTATGAAAGAGACTCTAAGGCTTCACACGATTATTCCACTCCTTGTTCCTCGCCGCCCTTCACAAACCACCGTGGTGGGCGGCTTCACCATCCCTAAAGATTCAAAGATTTTTATCAACGTGTGGGCGATGCATAGGAATCCAAATATATGGGAGGATCCACTCAAGTTTGATCCTGACAGGTTTCTTGATAAGTCTTGTGACTTCATTAATGGAAATGACTTCAATTATCTACCGTTTGGGTCTGGTCGTAGGATTTGTCCGGGAATGAATATGGGCGAGAGGGTTGTTCTTTTCAATATCGCTACGTTCTTGCATTCATTTGATTGGATATTTCCTGAAGCAGAGAGAGTTGAGGTCGAGGAAACGTTTGGGATCGTGTTGAAGCTGAAAAATCCACTTATTGCCACGCCCGTGCTAAGGTTGACGGATCCAAATCTTTATCTATAGTTCAACGCAAAGGAGAATTGTACGTTCTATGTCTTCTATAATCTAATAAAAGCAGTACTATCACGTGAATAAAATTTCCATAACATTCTAAGAAGAATGTAAAAAGACAAAGACCTAATGTGATATACATGAACATATACTTTTTAGTTTCATTCAAAATAAGGTAATGCCAATATTTATATTGTTTTTCTTTGTTAATATTTATATTGTTACAATTTGTATACAGAGTTATTTGAATTTAGTTTAATCCTAAACTGTGTTTGATGACTATTATTGTCACTAATTTCTACTGGATACCCTTTTTATTATTCTGTTAATATGAAACCTTCTTTATCTTGTAGAAAATTGAGGTAGACGATAACAATTGCTGCTTGTGGGCACTGAGTATGATTAACTTGTGAGCTCTAACGATTAAGGCATTTCCTAAGGCTTCTGACAAAATTTCCACTCATCTTCTTCTTTGGAAACTCAATGTTGCTTCATGTAATAGTTATTGCGCAGACATGATTCTGCCAAGAGAAACCTGTGAAGTTGATCACCATGTCTCAACGGTTTTTTCTTTGATGTTACGTGGAAGGCCGGTTTCACGTATAGTCTAGTTCCCTTCACCACGCACCTACGAAGATATATATAAGAATTCACAAAGAACTGTATAGCCAGCTCTCTTAACCTAGATCATTAGGCCACACACATGGTGATATATATAGTTTTAGAATAAGTATATATTTTAGTTTGTATATTTTTTTTAATGGATTTTTCTCTATAAACTATAATACTTATCCCTTTATATCCTATGAATATATGGAAAATTTGTATATATACAAAAGATGCTCACATTTGCAATGTCACCTAAATTGGGAAAAGACTCATGGTGATAGTTTTAGAATAAGTATATATTTTAGTTTGTATTTTTTTTTAATGGATTTTTCTCTATGAACTATATAACACTTATCCCTTTTATATCCTATGTATATATGGAAAATTTTTATCTAATACTTATCCCTTTTATATCCTATGTATATATGGAAAATTTGTATCTAATACTTATCCCTTTTATATCCTATGTCACGTAAATTGGGAAAAGACTCAGAAGTCATAACCCGTTCGGTCAATATGTAATTTTATTTTTGTAATGGTACGTAATACTAAATTGTGGTGGTTGGAGACTAATCTTGATTTATCATAAGAAAATTTGTATATAATACTTATCCCTTTTTGTTTGTTTTCTCCTTATAATATGATTTATCATAAGAAAAGACTCTCATTTATGTTTGAATAATTAAGTAAATAGTCGATAAGAACAGACTCTGCTATGTTTGAATAATTAATTAAATAGACATCGACATAGTAAAACATCAACTATTAAGACCAAACAGAAAGAGTATAATCATATATGAAAAAACAAACACATCAACATTTTATTGTAGTAAAAAAGTATAATCAAACACACAACCGTGAAAATCAAATAAAACCGCAAATCACACAGCACACAAATGCATATAGCTGATATTGAAAACGAAAATTAACAAACAATTTATGCATCCTAAGTCTCTAAAGAAGTATAGGATCGTATAGGATCTACGAGCACAAGGCTTATATATTCTTTGAGTTTTCCTTCACGGTTATTGTAGACATCATCGGCCGTATAGAGAACATCCAATGAGCGTCCGTAGTTGACAGATTGCATAAGGATTCGGCGTGGCATGGCGGTCATCTTCAAGCACTCTTCGTTTACAATCTTGTTCATATCTCTAACCACCTTTTCAAGTTCTCTACTGGCTTCTTCTTTTGTAATTTTGTGTTCCTTCATGTAATAGTTGAGTGCATTTGCAGTGTAACCCTTTTCCATATCCTCCTGATGATGATATGTACCAAAACTTTCAACACAAATATAGTATGCGAAGAGTAGTATGAAAATGACTAAAACAAAGTCAAAGATATTTGTTCCCTACAAATTTTGTATATTCGTCGAAGATTTTTGGTCCCTACAAATTTTGTATATACGTACATACCAAAAGAACCAATAGAATTAAACACGAAACATTCTGAAAACTCGTACCTCATAGTCGGCTATGTCATCCATGACACGGGTTTTTGCACCTAAAGTCCGAACGAGCTTTGGTCTAGATATTAGCCACTCAAAAGCTTCCTTCCTACCAATCTCTCCAATTCCCATAAATGAACATGCTATGGTTGCATATGTACCAATCTCGGCTCCACCAGACTCTACATACTCATCAAAGCTAGTCACATGACCTCCCCGTGCCCATTTGACAAGTTCAAGATTTTTCCTTGCAATTATCTTGAACTGCTTATCAAAAAATATAAACATGTTACTACTAATTAGTACCATCCAATAAATGTGGGTTTGGTGGTTGTAAGTAATGACCTCTTCTATCATCTTCTCTAACACAAATAATCTTCCTTGTGACCTCAATATTTCTTCATACTCTTTAAAAAGATACATCACAAATTTGAAGGCAGTCTTCATGTGACCTTCAAGATTTTCCATGTAATCCGGATCCCATCTGTTCATATATTACATCAAACACTCCACTCACAGTTAACTGTTTTTTTGTGATTTATTCAACCCTGAAATCTTTGCAATAGATATGGTTACGGTACCTTTCGAGACAGTCGACCAGGCTTTCAACTTCAGGAATTGAACCATAAATATCGCAAGCGTCGTCTAGAAATGTGATTACTAAGTACAACTTAGCCGACATAATTCTCCCAAGAGAAAATTGTGGCTCAAAGTACATCATCAATGCTGCAAACCAAGTCTCTATAGTTCTTTCTCTGAAGTTAGCTGGAAGGTTTGATGTATGGTCTAATTCCCTCCACCACCTACCAAAATACGAGCAAGATTAAAAATATGCAACCAGAAAGAACCCTAGCTATATTAGAAGAAAACCAGATCATTCACATATACATTGTGATGGTTTTTAGTTCTTGGAAGTAGTGAAGCTGCAAGAACTTGAAATTGAGCTTGGCTAGCTTGAGCAGTGTGTCTTCACGGTCCTCTTCGTGTTCATAGAAAGAGATATACTCCCTTGCAACCAGAGCTTGGATGTTCCGGTGCTGAGGTATGTGAAGAGCATTTCGTATGAGCTTTGAAATATGTGGTGGGCAAGATTTCCGACCTGTAGCCAGTGGCTCCAAGTGGTTCAGTGTGAAGCTTGATGCTTCATCCAATATATGATCTGTCGTTGTCCCAAAGTGAACTGCCTCGTAGAGGCTTAGCATACCCTTGACATCTTGTAGTAAAGTTTCCTTGAATTTACCATCGTTTCCTTTGAATCTATTGAAAACATCTACATGGAAATAAATAAATATGTTTTTTTCAATCTATATGATTATGCACACATCCTAATTGGAAGACCATAAAAATATTGAAACTCGTCTAAAACTATTACTTACCAGACAACATATTATGACCATATGTTCTAAAAACCCGAAACATGATCGAGATTGTGTATAAATCATTTTCATCAGCGAGAAGATCTTCTATCTTTTCGAAAGCATGTTTCATGGTCTCCTCTATCTCATTCTCAAAATGATAAGAGAGACCAAGGCTGATAAGCAAATGAATCGAATGAATTGTCTTCTTCGTTGCGTCTTTGTCTCTCGAAGACAACATGAATATGTTCTCTCTTACTTTTGGCTTTAACACTTCAATCTCTCTTTCAAGAACATCAAAATCCTGGAAGTTGATAAGACTCAAGTTGTTTATATATACACTCACATATATGATTTGATTATTAATAGATATATATAAATGGACTCACCGAATCAGCTTTAGAAAACTTGAGGAACTGATCACCCCATTGAGAGGGTGGCAATTTTGTAAAATTTAAGAAGCTTCCCTGATCAAGATTTTTTACTTCTTCCATTTCTCTATATTTGTGTATGTGAGAAAGAGAGAGATGTGGTGGTGGACAATTTGCAAGAAGGTAAAGAGAGATATATAGACAACCGAGTAAGGGACGCAAAAGGATTATAAATATATAGAATAATTATGTTTATGCATGTTTTTATATATTTACTAGTATATATGTGTTTTATGCATGCTAAACAAGATCAAAACTTTATATATATATTATTATTAATAGTTATATATTAATACTAATAGTTATATATTATTATATATTTATAGTTATGCATGTTGTTGATATATATGTATATTTAGAAGGTGTTTACATGTCCATTTTATCTCACCCAAAATTGAAAGAAAAAGACTATATCGAATGATTTAATAGTAATAAGAGATCCAACTAGTAGATATTTGTTCAAAAACATCTTATCCCTAGATAGCGGTGGTTGGAGACTAAGTTTTGGTTATAAATAATAAACGAGATATTTATATATATGCAATATAATATATCTAGTTTTTGATTTGGGATCTTATATTTTCTAGACTTTTCCATAAACCTTAATGAATTTTTTTCTAAAAAGCCAGAAAACTAAAACTAAATCTCAAATCCTAAAATAAACTAAGAATAATTACAACTAAACCCTAAATCCGAAATAACCTAATTTGTTGGTGTATGTCACCATGTAATTATATATAGGGACATTCTCTAAAATACCATCATTTTTGTTTTTAGGACAAAAATATCACAAGACTAAAATTAAATTTTAAATTTTCAAACTCTAAATTCTAAATTCTAAACATTCAACTCTACCCCCCTAAATACTATACACTAATTAAATTGCAAATAATCAACCCAAATCAAAGATTTAAAATTCCATACCATTGAACAATAATTTGATTTTAGTGATATTTTTGGAAAGAAAACCAAAATGATGGTATTTTGAGGAATTTATACATATTGAATTTGATATTAAATGGTGTTCAAAAAAAAAAAAAAGAATTTGATATTAAATTATTAAAGTCGGAGAAAAAAGATCTCTTGTACAAAGGGCAACGTTTGATTTAGATACTTGAAGCTGAAAAACAAAGAGAATGGAACCATTTTGAAACAAACGTTCGAATTGAATGTAGCCAAGAAACTGTCCAGTTGGAGTAGATATCATGCAAAACAATTTTAAGTAAATAATCTTGTCTGGATCTAACGATGTTTATCAGATTAGTGGGTATGGACCAATGGTATTAGTGACATAAGTTATGTTTGTTGGTAATTTGGTGTAT